AAAGCAAACATCCAGACTTCTGGAGCGGGGAAAAGCTGCAGCCTAACCCAGAAGAGAAACCCAATGCTGAGGAGTAATCCACTTGGAAGCAGAAGACGGAGCCAGCTTTGGAGACGTGAGAAAGGAGAGGAACAGCCATCCCCAGCAGAAGACACCCCCATGTATACAGACAAGTAAATCTGAACATCATTTACCAACTGTGAGCTTTTTAACTGGCAACAGTAACACCCTGAAGGAAAGACGGAGCCCCTGTTTTTTGGGGTGGGGAAGGTTACTTTACCTGGGTAGCTTCAAGGATAAAGTCATGGATGATAATTTGCTCTTCATTAGAGAGGCACAGTCTGTCTTTGCTGATAAGGGTCACGGTAAAGGCCTCGCAGTTCATGGATTCCTCCCGACTTGGCCAGTACACAAACTCATCTTCTGCCTGGGGGAATAGAGCAATGTGATGCCGCCGCGTCCCAAATATCTTATTTTACGTGCAACTGAAAAATCCAATGGATCAAAAATGGGTTTGATAAATAGATATGACCAGAAACTGATCTTTTCAAACTGTTTGTCTCTAAGACAGACTTATTACAGCAGTCAGCAAGCCTGCAGTGTCCTGCCTGTGCTTTCCAAATACTGGAAGTCTGCTTCCTAATTGGTTTCTTAGGGAAATGGTTATTTTAGTTCACTAACACTTAACCTTTATACAGGCACTGTAGCTCCCAGACCATCTCACCTCCTGCCTATGCAGTCTATTACTCTTTCTTTTGCAGTCAAGTCTGACACCTGCTTAGAAAAATTCAGAGAACTTGAAAAATTAATTGCTTAGTACCCTTAATTTTTACTTCTTGTGATGGCCTGATCCAAAGCCCATTGGTGTTAATAGACAGGTACTAGCTGCCCTTATGATGGGCTTTGGATTAGGCCCTTTAGCATCAATGCATAACACTTAGGTGTTGAATTTTTCTGAACTGGGGGGAGAAAACCCCAAACAATTCTAACCCTGAGGAAACAGTAAGTCCATATAAATCAAGTTCTCAAGGAACTTTAGTGCACAGCAAAGGTCCTTGAAAGATGAGGCAACACTAGACTGTAAATGAGATGAGTTCAATGAAGGGGGAAAGCATGCAGTGTCATGGCACACTCATGAAATGGTCAGCTGTGGACGATGTTGTCAAGAAATCGTTCTCCAGACAGTAAGCGTGTCTTCCGAGTCGCTGAACCCCATCACCTGTTATAGGCAGGGCCTGTTCCCCCCTTAGACGCGGGGGCTGGCTGTCACTGTCCTTCCTTTGCAATCAATAGTATTTCCCCAGCATGCACAAGAAAGGGCTGGATTCACTCCAAGGTGCTGCAGGCTTGTGCTTCGAAGGACAAGACTAAGCAGACTTTAAAAAACACCCAGGAAGCCCTGCCCTACGCAGGGAGAAACCTCGCCCGTCTCCCTTGGCAGCCGTGGAGAGGCCTTCAAAGCAGACGTCTGCATTTCACGTCCCAGTATTTAATGGAAGAGGGACACCTAAGTGCTGGGCCTCATGTGCCTCAGTCCATGCTGCAAATGTGATGGAGGTCACAGGGAGGCTTTTGAAAGCATTATCCGGCATCCAAAGGACCATGCTTCGATAGTGCTGGTTGTCCTGTTACCCACTGCTCTTAGATAAGACTGAGCTGCCCCCACTTCTTGTGTGATCAGTCTTCCCATGCTCTCACCCTGCCATTGCCTGCATGACAGGATTGGTACCCCTCTGCTCCCCCTGGACACAACCCCCTCCAAATCACACAGTAAGTATCCTTGCGAGGCAATTTGCCAGGGACTTTTCTATCCCACTAAGCCCTACTCGCCCTGGTTATAGTGTAATTGTTCCCGTGCAGCAGCACTTTTCCACATGCTCCTAAGATGGGGCCGGCCTCTTCATTTTCACTTGCCACGCTTCCTTTTCATCAGTGCTTTTGGGTTTGATTGCATTTGTCCGACAGCTCTTTCCCCTGGAATTCCAGCTGATCCCTTTAATCTTGCCATGCAGCGGAAGAATGTAAACTGTTACCTCCCAGCAGCCCTCCTGACTGCTACTTTCCTGCTGTAATGAAGACAGCTCCCACACCCCTCCCAGCCACAATTATCCGTTCACCTCAAATGCATGCACGTGGAAAAAAATCAACTGTTTAGTCCTTAATCCTTTTCAACCTGCACTCCTGAGACACCTGCCAGCAACCTGAAAACAGTGATTAACACCTTGCCTGTCGCACTTCCCCTTCTTTAATGCTCAGCCACTTTTATTTCCATTTAAACCCACTCACACAGCCACAGTGGCTTTCTCCTTAACACGGAGATAATATATTTATTATCTTGAAGGTCCTTAACCTTCAGTCCCCCAAGCAAACTAAGAACGACACGATTGTCCCTGTTACACATTTTTTGCTCTGCTTCATGTCCTTAACCTTAGCCCCGGGCAAACTAATAACTCAGCTGTGTCTTATCCTTTCAATCAAACAATCCTCAGAAACATAGCGCAGACTCTGCCCTGTTTCCAGTGAGCTGTACGGTTTGCTCCAGTTCATTAGCCTGCAGAGCATCCTTTACCTGCGAGGGAGGATATGGGAGATTTGGACAGTGCAGAAAGGAGCGTGCCCCGTTTTACTGAAACAAGGGGGCAGCACGAGCTCAAGTTGAAGCACCTGGCTGGAAATGAGCTGCATTTTCAACTGAAACGCAGCCAGGGCACGCAACCAAGTGACACGCTTCCTGTCCTCTGCTGTGCTGAGTGATTCCCATATAGCATACCTGGCTCTGTGCTCAACTTACCAAGCTCTGGTTGTCTGGCAGCATGACAATGATCTGCGCATTGTGATCCCAGATCATTCGCCAGAAGTCCTTAGTTGTGTGGGGCAGAGGGTGCTGGGTGATGATGAACTCATTGCTCCTGTAGTAACCCTTACACAGCAAAGGCAAAAACGCACGGTTATTGAACCGAATACATTGAAGGCAATATCTTTCCATTATAGAAACAGACAATGTTGCTTTGCCTAGACCTGAAAACACCCTACCTAATTTACTTCATGGGTTACTGCTAATATTTCTACACAAACCATCTTCTTTCCAACTTCATATCCACTTTGCAGAGTCCCCGCTGGTTTTGTTTACCGTTAATGCCAACATTTATTTGAGAACCGGCACTGAAAACACTAATTCCACAAAAATGCCTCACGTAATTTAAGTATTTTAGGCAATGATCTTTAATAAAAGACAGCTAACGGCCTTACATTATGGAAATGTGTTGAAACCTCTTCCTTTATGCTGAGCCACCATATACAAAATGAAGACAATGATAGGAATCTGGTATTTAGCACCTCTCAACTTTGTAACTTTACTTTGTAATTAAGGGTTGGCTTCCTCACCATGATGTAAGAGGCATTAATGTAGTCGGTTCCCTTCATCCCAGGCAGGGGTGCGAGGCCCACTCGCGCACGCTCAGCTGTAAGATAAAAAAGGATCAAAGTGTGGTTGCGGCAGAATACAGAAAGCAGGAATTTCTCAGATGTTTCTAACAAATCTGACACGGCACAACTCCCGTCTCCCCCAGGAGCTGGCCGGCATTTTAACCATGATAAAGCACTGCCAGCAAAAGCCGAATAGAAAAGAAACACTGCACGATATTCCCACAAGGACAAAGTAATTTCAGGAATCAAATTTTACTATAGCCAAGATTTTCACAGCAGGCCGAATTACCAAATAACAGTATATGCAGTGATGACAGGGGATTTCAGATAATTCTCAGCTATCGTGTTCCATTCGCCTCCAATTGTGCACAAAACCATCTGATTTATTCTGCTTCTCCATCCTTCTGCAGCATTACCTACTACCATTTCTCTGACCTTGGGGTGAGCTAGCAGCTGTTTCCACAGCTGAAGCAATCCTCTTGATTAGCCACCCGAGAATGTACATGTCTCCCTCAACACATCTAGCTTCCTTTAGAGGGAAGAGATGCAGTCAGACTCCCAATATCCCTCGTTTTTGTTTTTTTTTTGAGTTTAGGCTTCATGCGCTATCCAGGTCAACGAAGCCATCCACATGTGGTGATTTAATTACAGCAGCGACACTGCAAAACAAGCATCTTCAACCACATGGCAAAACCTCCTCTGAAAGTACAGTTCTAAGACTGTATTTCCTTGCAGACAACATGCCCCAGAATAAGAGACGCACCTTGTTTTTGAAAGGCTGAATGAAAAAAAAAAAGCTCTTTCCTTATATGAAGTAGCTACGTTGCAGCAGCTGGGTAGCTGAGCCTGCTGTCCTATGGGACCCCGTGCCAACTTTCTATTAGCTTTTGCCTGGGAAGCAGCAGAAATGGCTCTAGCTGTACTCACTTGCATAACATTTGTACTTCCAATTTCCAGCAGCTGTTTTTTGTGGGGGGAAAAGGTGTGCAAGAAAATGTGGTAATCCAATGCTGGAAGTTTCATCGATAAAAAACCTGATCAACACCGTGTTTGGACACGGTGTCTGGCTGACCCTGTCACCAGGCCCTTTTGCTCCATTTCAGCAAAATCATTTTAAAGACAAGATAGCGTCGGCCAAACAAAAAGGCAACATTCCTCCTCCTAGCAGCCAGGCTCCTTCATGCATAACGCTAGCAAAACCCAATACAAAAACTTCTGCTAAGCAGTAATCAAACTGAAGATGTGATCTTACACGGCACAACTGATGAGTTCCTGTTCTTCTCTTTGTTGCAGTCTTTCTGAGCACTGAAGCATTCCACATATTTTGCATTACATTGTGTAACCAGCTGAAAGAAAATAAGCAGTAATTGGTTTGACTAAGTCGTCATGGCTCTCCGAACCGAGAGGCAAGGTTTTTTCCCAACTCCTAGAAAGACGCATCACTAGAAGAACAAATTGCGTTGTTAATTTTTGTTTAAGTACAGGGGATGGCAACAGTGATCATAAAATATGTTCATTGGACAGTCAGGTCTCTGCAGATTTCAGCTTTGGCATCCAATGAAAATGACCTTCCCTTCAAAGCTGATTCTTGCTCAAGACTGAGCAACTTAGGTGTTCGACACTGAGGCACTCACCCAGGAAGCCAAGGTTTAGGGCTCTAGGCCCCCTTCACCCAGAGGGCTTTGAACCAGCATCTCTCTCACTGCCCAGAACAGCTCTCTAATCACCCAGCCACAGGTTAGGTATTGTCCAGTCCCCTCTCCAGTGCTCCTTTTGAAAGCAAGTCACTGAACCTTTCCTTTAAAAGTCAATGAATAAAATGGATGCATGGATCTGGACTTGGATATATTTGCATGTCCACAAAGGGCAGGCAGACATGTCTGGCCAGTGAGTAGGTGATGGTGCATGCTCAGTCTTCATGTGCACGCTTACATGTCTGCACTGCAGGGATAATATCATTGCAACCTATGCCGAAGTCCCAAAAATGCCACTTACGCAGGGAGACAAATCGCTGTTCTGGTACACAAAGGGAACACCATTCTGCCCTTCGTGTCTCAAGTCAGTTCGGAAACTGGGACTTAAGCTGGTAAGACACGGGGTGGGGTTTCTTTTGAACTTTCCGCCAGGAAGATTTCTCTGCGAGACTCATGTTTAGAATTTGGATTTTTCCAAAAAAAGAGAGAAAAAGAAGAAAATTTGTGCGCTGAATTTCTTCTCCAACTGCGATTTTTTTTCTTGTTTAATTTGGTACTTAAGCATCTGGAATGTCATGAATGCCGCAGAAATGCAGAGATTCTCAGAAGTGAATTCAGAAAATGGCCTATTCATTTTCTGGATTGTTTGTCACCTGGTGTAATTTGTTTAACACTTTCGGGTCCTTGGCTGGTGTATGACTGAGTGAGCTGTGCTGGAAAAGCAGACTCTGCACAAGAGTCTTCTCAGGACACACAGTCGCACAAAACAGTTTTAAACATGCTCGTAAAAAAAAAAATAATCAAAAAATCTCAAATGCCAGGAAGCTTTTAATGCTAAAATGTGAGAAATAGGCAAAACGGTTTCTTTTGCCATAATGAATGTTATTCCATGGTTTATTACTGGAAAGGCAGCAGGTGCGACAACTATTAGCAATGAGACTATTTCCTGAGTCGCAGAAGATGTGTTTATCCTATACCAACCGTGCCGAGGTTTTACATTATGCTAACGGCCCCCATTCTGCTAGCTTTCACTAGAGCTGGGTTCGAGGTATGATGATGATCTACATTAAAAGCTAATCAGACTTCAGCAGTGCTCAGATTCATGGGTTGGTTCAAGCTGCCTTCAGTGCCTGACTCTCACATCCCACCAGTCTGACTCCATAGACTTAACCCTGATTTACAGCAATGCACCTACGGTTGTTCAGGCTAAATCCTCCATGCTTGGCAGCGCTGACCCAGTGGTTTGGCTCTAGTTTTACTTATGAGATACAATAGTAAACACACTCCCAAAGCAGAGTGAATAAAACGCTCCTGACGACTCTGGGAGCTCCTGTACCTTGAACTGTTTTTCTAGTCGTGTCTTGCCTCCTATTCCAGGTATGAGGATGCTGTTAACGTAACTGTGCAGCTGATTTGCAGACACTTCCGTTTCCTTCCCAAGGATGGCTTCCAGCAAGGCATCATGAATAAAAATGTACTGCTCCTAGAAAAGCAACAGCAAGCAGTTTCAGAGCAAGGTAAGTGAAACAGGGTGCAGCCATTAATGAAGGTTTGCAGCATACAGAGGAAAGGGTTACAACCTCCTTTTCAAAACACCCAGTACGGAAATGCTGCCAAAACAAGCACCCACGTTCTCGAGTATAGTACAAACAACTGAGGTAGTCAAGAGAGGCATTGTAAGCTTCTGATCTTGGAAAGAGATGTTCCAGCACCCCAAAAGCCTGGTGATTTACTTCATTTGTACAGAGAAATAACTGAAAAATCCATTTTGCTTTTGATTACCCCATAAAAATGAATGCAGCTTTAAATCCAGCATCTCCCCAATCTTTACCTCTGTCTGGACGAGGTAGTTGCGCTGGGTCCTGATGTGTTTCAGAAAGCCCAGGACATTGACTGTGCTTTTGTCTTTTATCTGCTGCAGCATGCTGTCGATCACAATGTAGGTGCCAGTCCTGCCCACACCAGCGCTGCAGGAGACATGAGAAGAGACCGGGATGAGTCAACTCTACCAAATTCAGGGCTCACAATGGCAAAGGAGAAATCCTTGAGCTCAAATACTCCTGTGCATCACAATTACTTCTGCTTCTTCAAGTCCTTGAACCAAATGGTTCCTTGGACATTTTAGGATATTAATTCTGATCCAACACGTGCTTGCGTCCACCACTTCTAATGACAATTCTCCCAAGTGTTTATTTCCCTTTCTCTCCTCAGCTAATTGGCTTCTTTCTTTGCATCTTTCCACAGCAAAATGAAAGTGTGAGTGGGCTGCATGCTGTGCTAGCAGTGAAGACAGCGGTGAAGCCCCCTCTGCCCCATCCTAATTGCTGCAGTCCCCTTGCTCCTGAGATCACACTGACACAAGTGTGTGCCTACATGCCACACTCCCACCCTCCATCCCTTGGGTGGACATACCCTTAGTCTCTGCCCCCAGCAAACGCAGGTGGCATTCAGTGGCCAATGCTAACCAAGGCTACACAATCCCTACAGTCAACACGGGCAAAGGTCCATGCACTGATGAAAGGCTCCCCCACATTCAGCAATGGGGAGCCAATCTTCATAGGAATGAATCCTACTGCTTTCTGTTCACAGGTGATGGGTGAAGAGGCAGTTTGCCAATAACTCTTTACAACACTGACATCCGCCAGCCCATGGGTGAACCGTTTCAGCTGCGTCTCAGTCTAATCATTAGCTGGAACGTGCAACCAGTTGCCCAAGATGCCTGTTACTGTGTTCTGCTCCTTACTGCTGCAGCTTTAGGAAGCCATTGATATGCATCTACTGCAAAAGGGCCGTCACCTGAGGTCACGTATGTCACTTGCCACTGCCTGTCGGCATGTTAAACCCACCCTGGGCTGGAGCCTGGCACAAGGCCTCGGCCCCACCTCCAAGCCAGAGGCTTAAGGAGGCCATGAGCTTTGCACAGACCCTCTGCACGGCGGCACATTTCGTTCCACACCCGTTTGCAAGCTAACAACGTATGGTGCTGGCACCGATGGTTCTCCAGCCACAGCACGCTGTGTACAAGGTGCGTCTTACACGCACCAGCGAAGCAGAGCGCGCCTTGCCGTACCTGCAGTGCACGACCACGGGCCCCATCTCCTGGGTCCTGGCCGCAGAGGATCTCCTCACGAAGGTCAGCACCGGCAGCGCGTACTCCGGCACGCCCATGTCGGGCCACTGGGTGTAGTGATACTGGATGACCGTCCTCTCATTCTGCCGCCCCTTGGGGTTGCCTTTCTGACCCTGGGCAAAGAGCGCACGCAACAAGAAGGGACATGTTAGGACAGGAAAGTGTGGCCACACAGCAGAGACGCATGATAAACACCTGCTTCTCGGGGAGGCCAAAAGGGTTAGGATTAAGGTATGAAAAGGATGAAAGGATTCACAATAAGAGAAGAGAAAAAAACCCATTCTAACAACTTAATTAACATTAATATAGTTGCTGGGCTTAGAGTCTTTTCCAGGTCTTCTCCAGCTGGGCAAGGCGAGAATATGGTGGGGAGGTCATGGGTCACAGCAACCAGCTACAGGGACTGGGAAGCACTGTGCAGCTCCTCGCTTTCAGCGCAAAGAACTGCGGATACAGCCTTTCATCAGGTATGCAATGGTCCAGGCTTCTCCACAACAGTATAGACAGCACGCCAGGCCTGAAGGCACACACGGCACGCTGCCCCCACCCGAGAAGCCCCACGATAAGTGACCGCGAACTAAAAGGGCTCACTTGCCTTTTTCATCTTGGCGTTTCGGACCGTGAAGCGGCGGACGGTGTAGCAGGCATGGACTTTTGTGCTCTTCAGGGTGACGATAATGTTGCCGTACTCCTCGCTGTTCTCGGTGGGCCAGTACTGATCGCATTTCCTCTAAAGAAAGGGAGAGGGTGCTGGGTCAGGGGTTGGCGCACTTGGGTTTTAAAACCACCTGACTACCGTTTATTAGAAAAGGTGGAAAAATAAAAAGGAAAGGACAGCTGTACTGTTCGCTTTTCAGGCTGTACAGCCATGAGCATGCATTTGAGCATTTAAAAAAATGCTGCCTCTGCAGACAGCATCAGATCTTGTACTTAATTCATTATATTAAGTAGCAAAGGGAAGCTGTGAAGACGCTCCCTTACCCTTCCTTTTTCCACAAGGTTTGTGATCATGACAATAATTCCAGTATTTTGCTCCCAAATCATCCTCCAGAAATCTTCGAATGTCGACTTTAAGGGTCCCTGGGTGGCTATGTAGGCTTTTGCTTTGTTGTAACCCTTCAAAGAAAAGCATAATGCAAAGTCAGATGAAAGCAATATCATGGCAGACATGTTAATAATTTAACAGTAACAAAGAAAGGTGCCTTTCCCATTCTGAATATTTGAGGAGCTGGCAGCAGACATGCCAGGGACTTGCAAAACACAAACACTTCAGAAGCAATAACCAGTTATATTCCCCTTGTATGAAAGGATTCACAAGAAGAGAAGAGGTGAAAAAAAAACATTCAAACAACTTACATCAACATAATTAGCATTAATGTAGTCGCTGTGCTTAGAGTCTTTTCCCGGTAAAGGCCTTAGCTTCACCCTACTGTGATCATCTGTGGGGAGAACACACAGCAGAAGCGCGCTAAGAAGAAAACGCACAACAAGGCAGGTAAAACATCCTATTTCCAACATGTTTCTGGGAGGGAGTCACTCCCTTTACAAACACCCTCAAGAAATTGGAGTGACGGGGAAGTGGAGGAGCCTGCCCTGGGGTTGCGGGAACAGATTCTCAGGCTTTGCACTGATTCATTAATTTTTTGAAGTATGTGATTTCTTTAATGCGACAGGTCCCTTTTGAAAGCTGGGAGCAGGTGGTGTTTCTAGGGGAAGGAGGATCTCATTAAGGCGCTGTTTGGACCATCTCACGCTTCTTTTGAGGAGGGGTTCTCCCTCCTATTTTTGTACACTGCAATCACTGCACCCCATCCTGTGCAGCAGGCCGGCACCTTTAGCCCATGCCATGCACCGCGGGAGCCAGGCACAGGGACCCTCAGCTCGCTCACGGCTGCACAAGAACCACCAAGGAGCAAGGAACTGAACTATGTCTCCCAGGACCCAGGCTCACATCCCTGCCATGGTGTGAGCCTGGCACAGGTGAGTCAGGTGTTCACGCCATCTCTATAATTCAAGTAAAATCATGCTGGGCTTGCTGCTCCTGCACTTGCTGGACCTGAGAGCAGGCTTACATTGCAACCTTAGTGCTGGCTCAAAATGCCTGCAGTGCTAGGATCCTGCCTCAGTTCCTCATCAGAGAAGATTACAGACAGCCTTATTCTGCTTCCCACGGCCTGCCCTACTCTTGAAATAGCCTTCGGGTTAGCGGTTCTGAAAAGCACACCTACGCTGCACTGTGTATGCTGCTGTCTTTCCCAGTCACGTTCTCCACTGGACAGACACGGATGTCAGACATAGCACATTTGGAAGTAGGAAGGAAGCTCATGGATCGATAAAACACTCTGCCCCTCCTCAAAGTCACCTTCCCCCAGATAAGTGCACACGGTGCTGACAGTGATTCGATCCTAATTACCCAGCTTCGTGGCTTTACACAGGACGGCTACCTGTGTACGCTGCCCTCACCCTATCCAACGTCAAAGCGCCGACATTTTCGTACGGGAAAGAGTGAAACACACAACTTAAAAACTTTGGACAACTTGATTGGAGAGGAATTCACGGCCACACTGGCAAACTTGAGTGGCCGCCCTTCTCTGGCCTAAGTCATTTCAAACAACCTGGTTTCCCATTTGCGCTCTGGTCCCCTCTGAAGCAATGTATGTGCTATATTTACTGCCAGTGCTTACTCACATGCTAAAATGTTGATGTATCTGTTCTTGTGCTTGTTATCAGGGTGATTGGAATGTTCTGCCGTGATGCTCATGTCGGCCGTACAGCGCTGCACTTCCTGTAATAAAATTATTCAAACAGAAAAGACATCAGAGCAAGAACACGCAGTTTGTCTCCGTTTTACAACAGCTCCCTGAAAACAGGCTTAACCATCAACACTTTAATTGTCTGATTTATTTTTTTAATCTGCCAGCAGGTTCCTGTCTAATTAAATCCGGGACATTAGCAGACTCCCAGACTTCGATTACAGAACTGAGCCTCCGTGATGGGTGAAGGTCACGCTTTGGAGAAGGGCAGTGGAAAGTCTATGTAACACACAATATGGGCTCTTCTCCTTCCCCCGCCCACCGCAGAAAATGTTGGCGTTTTTTAAAGAGACTGCAGCTCCAAGTGGCACTGCTGCTCCTTGTGGGTGTTGTTCCCTCCTACAAGGAGCAGCCGGATAGCTCAGCAGCTCACCAAGGTCACAAGTTTGATCCCCGGTTGGACTAGGTGATCTCTTGAGGTTCCTTCCAGCCTTACTTTCCTATGGGCGCGTTTACACATTCATTAATGTGCATTTAGTTTAATACTTCCTTAATAAAGTACTAACTAAATGTGCAGTACCTAAAGTTACTGAGCATTAGCACCGGTGCACGGTTATTTAGTGATGCTTACTGTGCATTAGCCTAATAACACTGCGCAGTAGGCTATTAGCACAGGCTGTGCCGTGACACGCTACTGCACAGTGTTATGAGGCCAATGTGCAGTAAGTGTCTCGTGTAGACGTGCCCTACGATAGCAAGTTTGCTGTACGATAACTTCCACGGTTGGTGGGTGCTCGGACAGGACTCCCCTACCTACAGTGCAACACTTTCTGCCCCTTGGTGGGAAGAAAGGAGTGTGTGCCAATGGTGCATTATGGAAATGGTTCTCATGTGTGGTTTTCCAGCCGACGTCTGGACCAGCTGGCCTCTGCACCTATTTGTGGCACTGGTATTTTCATACAGTATGAATGAAATAGATCTGTGGGGGAGACGGACAGTGTCTGATGCCCACCTGACACCTGAAGAGCAAAAGATTTCCAGATTTTGGAAGAAAAATGAAATTTTTTTCATGTGCAGCAGGGACATCTCCTCAGGGGTGGAGCTGCAAAGGCGTTTAAGCATCTAACGAGGCAGACAGGTGCCCAGTGACTTCTACAAGGATGTCTAAATAGGATAGGTGGGCAGGTCCCACTGGCTTTCAGATCCTGGCATACTCCAAGATGGGTAATAAACCGTATCAGCATGCGGCCGTGAAAATGCCAGAGCGAGACGTCTTCTCCCCACAGCATGGGGATCCCAACGATTGACCTACAACCAGATTTACCTAAACACCTACAGAGTTTCTGAGCACGTCTTGTGGACTTAACTAGTCAAACACATCCTCTATTCATCTGGGGAGCTATTTTAACCTGTAAGCCCACCAGCAATGCCCCTTTTAAAATATCCTTCTTACATCTACTTACCTTCTTCATCATTAGCATGAACACTACTATTATTCCATTACACTGCAACCACTTCTTGAAAATACACTGATGCGGGCTTGTTTAAACATTTGTAGGAGAAGCTATTTAGTGGGTTCAAGAAGTCACATTTTATAACCTAGATTTCCTCACAGCTAGGGAAGGGAAGTGCCAAATTACTTTGTACTGTAGGCTTCAAAAATAACAGTATAGAACCTGCCTAATAAGGGAAGTCATTAGCAGAACACAGCTGCTACAAAGATCAAGAGCTAAGTGACAGAGAAAATTATCAAGAGAAATGCTATACAAACAGCAGATGTAACAGAGTTTGGCATTATGCAGACATTTCGCAAAGGAGTTGCATAGCAATTTTGATATTTTCCACCGCATTTACATTTAAAAAGTGCAAACTATACCAAAACCAAGTACAGTCTGTGGCTTTTATATTCACTGGGCATTCCCTAGCGAACAGTTGCCTCTTCCTCTCTCTTTGAAAGGGAGGAAGACACTGCAGGCAAAGGAGATGAGCTGAACTATGACAAAGATGAACGAGACAAAACCCTTCGCTGGCCTAAATGAACAGAATCCCATTTCTATCAGGGAAACGCAAAACATTTTTCACCTTAATTTCAGCACTTTGTTTAACACCGCCTGCCAGCGCCAACGGGCCACGGAAAACACTCTGCTTTGGAGCATGGATTAAACCACAAGCAATATTAGCTCAGTCTAAGCCACAAATGGAAAACTGCTTGCATTTTTGTTTGTTTGTTTTTGTTTTTTTTTTTAAGTACAAAATGTTCTATTCCTACATGATTAGAGGGTGCTCATCAAATTTTTTAAAAGTTTATGTTCATTACAAAACTTTTTGGAATGGCTATGCATGTTCAAATATTTATGGCAAACTCCTACAGCTGAATATAGGCAAATCCAATAAGAGCTTTTTGGAGAATACTCCAAAGAGCATCAAATTTAATAGAGAATTACATCCTTGCAAAGGAATTCTCTAAAATGGCTTAAATACTAGGTAGTCAATGCATCACTTTTTATTAAATTCTATAGGATTTTTCCATAAGGGAACGGTTATGTGCAGTTAGTCATTTTAATTAACCTTTTTAAGTGGATGTTGACTGTGTACTCAGTTTTCCTGGCTGGCCAATAAAAAGTTAATAGAAGGTGAGATTAGACATAAAATGATGGGAAAGAAAAAATGTGGCCCTGGAATAAGAGGTATGACACAGCAAGAGCTGCTGCTTTGGAAAAGTCTCTTCTCAACCCAACAGGCAAGGCACTTTATACCGGAAAACTTGGCCAACATCTCTCCCAACTATATGGTTGGTCCAATAAAAGACATCACAAAAGAAGAGTCTCCCATGCCTTTCCTGCACCATTACATCTGCAATAACACTACAACCCTACTATATTTCCAAGGGAATTCTAGTATCCTTGAAAACTCAAAATGTTCAAAAAACAAAGTCCTCTGCCCTTAGTTGAAGCCTGTGTCAGCTGGAAACAGGGCAAGTAACAGGCTTCAACTGCAACAAGGGAAGTTTGAGTTAAGCCTTAGGAAAAGCTTTGGCCTACTTGGCCCTAGGGGGGTCAGCTGAAGGGATGAACATGGTGTGGATCCAAGCATCCTTCGCTATTTGACACAGGCCACCTCCCAGGGGTTCTGGAAATGATGTACTAGAGGAGTTTTCTAGATGTACTAGATAATTTCCACAATGCTGGAAACCACTGTCCGGGCACCAGGTCTTCCTAAGCTGACTTCAGTGACACTGGAGGGGTGGGTAAGGTGTCTGCATCGAGGTAATGTTCACAAGGTGCGAGATGGTCTCCATACATAAAACTAGACCTGACCCCCTGCCTTGAAGAGCTCTCGGTCTCAGAAAATACCACGGCAAAGGGATCAGACAATCAACCAGCCCTATAAGGCAAATAATGAGTTATTGCTAAGTGGTTTTCCATAGGCTCCCTTAGATGGCCAACTTCCTACAGGATGCCTGGCAGGTAGAGAAGGCAAGAGTAGCAGCTAAGTTTCTCAGGGGAGAAAGGTGGGTGTCAGACTGGTCAGGGGGGTCAGGAACTGGTAGGAGTCATGGGAAGAGGTGAACGTAAACTCCAGTCTGTTTTTATCCCGTGATGTCGCTACGTCTTAGGTAGATCCTGCTCTGCAGGTTTTAACCCATATTTTTGCCTTTGCTTTTGGCCAGAGAACGCCAGCATGAGGGTTCGCAACCAGTGCGAGAATTTCAGGTTTTATCTGGAACAGCCGACGGTGGGTCGCTGTGGAAGGAGGCGTCTAGACCACTTCATTTCTTTCATTGAATTTAACTGCAGACTAGCTAACTGGCCAGTGTCCTTTACATTGAGCACGTTACTCTCTGAAGACGAACAGGCACATCCTCTAATTTTGTCCTTTTCAACTCCTCATTGACCACTTGAGAACCCAAAGTACACGGTTTCAATCGACCTTTAGTTACTGCAAGAAATGTTATATTCCATGCTATTATGGCTAATTTAGCTTTTAATTATATTGTCCGTGCTAATGCTAATTGGGATTTGATACACCCAAGTTTAATGATCCATTTTCATTGCCTTCCTGAAGCAAGTTACAGATTAGTTTGATAAACTTCAAAGAATTTTCACTAAACTTAAAAGTGTAAAATCAAACCGCTACATGTCTGGTAATACGAACTAATGAGCTAGAAGTGGCTGGCTCAGCAGGCAGCCTGTTGGCTTCGCTTATGCGGGCCCCCCTCTGTCAAGGAGATGGTCGAGGTGGCACGTTCAGAAGACCTTTTTCTGAAGGTGCGAAGGAAGCTAGTTCAGGAGGTACACTGGGAAATTATGTTGGGGTTGTCCACCACTAAGACAGCAAATTTGTTCGTGACAAAGATCTTTTTCATCCCATGCCATCAATCATAGTAATCTCCTGAGCCAACTTTTGGTCGTCCTTGCCCATGGTCCTGCTGGCCCAAGGGAAATGCTCCGAGGATGCACTGCTACAGACCCGGCGGCTTGCAAGGACCTTGCACAGGAACGGCATAGTCTTGTGTGGGTGTCAATCCTTTAGCAACACAAGGTGAAGGGGAGAGATGGGGGCACGCGATACACGGGGAAGGGGAAAGCAAACTGAACAGGCTACCCTAGCACTGCACAAAGCTAGGGACAGGCCATTTTAACAATAAGTACAACTGGAGGGCAGAGGTCCCTATCCTTTGCTGGCCCATGGTCAACAGCACCAGGCATGTAACATGCCAAAGGCCACATTGTCCTTTGCCTCCCATGTCGGCTTCAGGTTGAATATCATTTCCTCTGGTAATGAGCACTGCTGGAAGGGCTGGCCACGCTGTTCGTGGATGGCTAGGGTTGGGATAGGACAGCAGCCTGTGAGCTTGTGCCAGACCCAGGAGCAGCATGGCTGTGAGTGCAGCCTCTCAGCAGGGCTAGCTGGGCCAGGCGGACTGATATGCTGAGCCACCTATGCTGGCTTTGGGACCCAAGGGGCTCTGTACGCCAGGGGTGTCAAACTCATCCCACCCCACAAGCTGGATGAGGGTCACTGGGCCAGGCTGTGGGCCTGAGTGGGCTGTGCCCGGGCCAGGCGGGGGGACACCACATGCGGCGCATGCCCCTGTACCAGCTCCATGCACTGCACGTGGGGGTTGACACCTCTAGCATACACAGATGTGTGGGCAGATATCTCTGCAAGCAGCTGCCCTGCACTGACACATCCAGAGACACAGAAGCGTTACTCCATGCACACAGCCGGCCTACTCATTTCATTCCCGTCACTCCCATCGTCCTTGTAACTTTTCCCTCCCATGGCTTGCTTCCCATGAGACATTAAGGTCTGAGGGGCAGGGACCTCACCTGGACTGAAGTGTGAAGGTGGGACCATCAGATGAACAATTAGCAGTAGGAAGCACAGGCAAGTGGGTCTCCCTTGAGTACGGCTACCTTCAAATTCTACTTGTTCAATTTAAAATAACCACTCCCTGGCATTAAACTTTCCAGCTCAACAACACAGGATTTCAGTCTATGCTGCAACAGAGATGCCCTCGCATCTAGCAGCATCACAGGGGTCCTCTCGCCTCCTGCGCCCCCTAAGACTGACAACATGCGACAGTGCACGGCCCTGGGCCAACCAGACTTAACACTTCCGCTGCTATCAAAAGTCATAAATTCAGTGTGCTCAGGGGCATCCTTAACTATTCTGTGTGTATAAGAAAGACTAGTGAACTGCATGATAAAGCGGTCTTCTGGCAGCGTGGCACCCTGATGGGAATACGGATGCATTTTGGATCTACCTTCCATAGAAAGATCTGCGAGTTTAGAGACCTTTTCTCTGTCACATAAAATGCTTCCTTAGCACATTCGGAAAATATTTAACTCTACCTCTGCCTTTAAGAGGGAGAGAGGGAAGCGGTTTTGAGTATTCAGACCATTTGCTTCCAAAAGAATCCTCTTACAATGAAATTCCCCATAAAACTCAAGGCAGGTTTCCAAAAACACAGGAAAGAAAAGAGAAGCAAACCAAGAGAATATACGCCTTTTCCTCAGGGCAGATTGCATTTGTTCCTAACATACTCGTCTTCCTTTCAGCTTCTTTCACAGAGCTGACTGCTACGGAAACTTTGCAGCTACTTTGTGGATGCTGTCTGTCTTATGGTCTGAAGTCCCCTGAGGGAAGAGAAGAATACACTCCCTTTCAGCAGCTAGGCTCCTATTTTCTCTCACGCGATTGAACTTCATACAGACAGACGATACTTTCGGCTAAGTGACTTAAGAGCATCAGTCTCCCTCTCAAAAGTGACCAAAGGCCTGAATGAGCGTGAGCTACTCTGCCTTTCAGCTGCACAGAAACTACATCTTCACTGCAGCTCGAGAGCGAGCTTGCGGCACGGAGGTCATCTCAGGCTCCTTTGGAAAAAAAATGGACACACATTTCTAACACACTTAGGTGCTGCGGAAATGTCACCCCATGGTCTTAACGGATCCATCTAGGTCCCGGTCCCGGTCCCTGTTACAGCACAGATGACTTTGGGAGTGCTTTGAGGTGATGCTGGTACAAGGGAGAGGAGAATCCTATCTGTGCATGTGCCACCAAAGGGAATATAAGCCATTGCAGGAAGGGGCCATCCCTCATATACATGTATATATATGTATATGTGTGTATGTATATATGTGTCTGTGTGTGTATGTATGTGTGTCTATGTGTGTATTTATGTATATGTATATGTATCTTCTTCTCAAGGCAGCAATCGTTCTAGTCACAGCCTCTTCTCCCAGGAGGAGATTTCTTTTTTATTTTTTGTTTTTAAAAAAAAACCTAAGGACCAAATTCGGGCCTCGTCTGCACCGAAATAAAATGGGAGTAACCACAGTGGCTTCAAGGAGTTACGCTGAGTCTTACGCTGGCGGAAAGAGCAGGATTTGCTCGCTGTGCAGTACAGTTATAAAAGGCCGCTTCCCTTCATCAGAGCTGGTGAACTCCTGAGAACAGGACTAATTGGCTAAAGCAATCTCTCCTGACAAGCTATCACGGAGCAGCAGTCACAGAGAGCAGTCGTAGCATGAAGGGAAGAAAAAGGCTATTAGAGCTGTATTTCCCTCTGTTGAAAGCTACGGGCGGAAGATGTCCAACTTTTGTTAATAGCAATGATTTTGAGGCAGCTGAAGCAAAGCCTGCTTTAAGTCAGACCAAGTTTACAGATGTGTAGCTGATTATTTTGAATAATTAAATGGTGTCCAAACCAGCTGTAATGAATAGCACTGGGGTCTCAATTCATACATAATTGAGAAGACCGAGGCACATTTGATCATCCTGATCAAATTCTACCCTCTGGAGGATAAATGTTTGTCCTGAATACCATCAACATTGTTAAATGCCTCAATATTCCTGCTCAGTCATCCAGCCAGCAGTCAATTGAACTAAATCACTTTAACACCTCACACATTTGCTATCCTCATGAATACAAAATGTTTATGACTTACACAATAGTTTTTGGGCATCAGGCAATGCAGCCACTCAGACAGACTGTAACCAAACAGCAGTAAATGGTTTTTAATGGGACCATTAAAGACAATACCTGCATATAGTCGTGTCTTTATTCCATTAAGCAAAGTGGCTTTAGATATTAGCCCACCAGTTTTGTTTCACTGTTATGTGCGTAAATACATCGGCCTTTATAACTCATGTACCCATATTACTTTTTTAAAACAGCCATATATTGAAGAATATGGGTGGTCTTTGGCCCTCCACTGAAACACCACCACAGCTGCATGCTATTTACCAGCCTTCCTAGTTGAAATCATCTCAGCCAGGATGCGGTGTGGAAGGATTACCAGAGCAATGCCATTGGCACATTAAACTTCTCAAACTTGTTTCTTGGTAGCGCAGAAGTGCCTTGTGTAGCTCACTGGGCCTTCCTATAGCACGGAGGGATTGAATTTTGGTCTTACTCCCATGCTGGAGGACTTGCAACAGATTTGCAAGGGGGCAACAGAGATTGGGATTCAGCCTAGACACTCCGAGTTGTCTGTAGCAAGAGGCAGCTCTTAAACCCTTCGCATGATATAAATACCATGGACTAAGCACCTCGTTCAGGTGTTATTTGGACAAAAATCCCAGCGATGGCAAAGGGAACATTTCCTAGTAAGCAACCAATAATAGTAATTCAAAGAACTAATGGATGGGAGCTTTGGGAAGTGGCCCAAGAGTGATAAATGACAACGAGCCACACGTGACATTTCACGTGGAGGGCCAGTCTGCAACCCTTGCTCACACTGCAGCTTTCCCCTTTCTGAAAACCAGGTGACCAGGAAAGACTCTTCCAGATGAGGTCTCACCAGCACTTGGTATATGAACGGCCTTAAAACTCGGTGCTCTCTGCTGGAAATACTTCATCTGATAGGGTACAGAAGCAGACTTGCTGTTTTCACAGTGGCCTCATATCGGTACGACATTGTCCCTGGCTAGGAGTACACAACATGTTCAGCTGCGGCAGGAAAAGGCTACTTCATTAAAAGATAAGGGAACATACCTCAAAGTCTTCTGAGAATCCATGCTGGTTATTTGAATACAGTTCACTGATATGTTTAACAAACTGTTTGACAGGAATGGCTTCCATGTCATCTGTAGGAAGAGAAACACATTCAGAGTTGCTAGGAAATGTTTTATTCCTCCTGCCACCAGTCACGCTGACCTTTTTCATATCTGAGACCGAGACCTATATTACTATCAACTAATTCAGGTTTGCGCTTGGGCCTCAACACCATTTGTATCTGCATTACCCAAAGGAAGAGTCTATACCGTGCATAGTTACACGAACCCTAACAGATGTCTAATTCCCTATATTACATATGCAAAGCTAGATACTGCCAATGTAAATCATGCGAATCGGTAGTTGGTTCCCTGTGATGCATTTTTGGAAAGCTAATCCTCAGTGCAATTCTACTTTTTATTTTAAAAGTAAAATAAAAAGTAAAATAAAACGTATAAAGGATATTTAAAACAATATAGTGGACAAGTAATTGCTGTTAATCTCAGATGAGATTTGTTTTAAAAAATGTTGTTCCCTGTTGTAAGATTTAAGGCCAGCCAGAAAGACAGACAAAAGTACACAGAGTCTTCCAGCCACTCCTGACAGTGTTCGTTATACTGAATGTTCATTCCACTGGATGGCTTGCTCCTGATGGACATATTCCCAGGATGCCAATAAATCACGTAGAAACACCTTGTAAAGAAGCTGTAACAAAGCCAAAGATGTTAACGGATTAAAAGAAAACCCAGGGCTTTTCAGGTGGCCCAAAAGAAGTTCCTGGGACGCTGTGAAACAAGTGGGATGAATCTGGGTAAAACATGGATGCATAGTCATCACCTGCATAGTTTTCCAAAGCAGGATCTAAACATTGCTACATCCCCACTTCAGTTGCTGAAATCATTCAGCTTTCCTGGATAAATTAGATAATGTTTGCAGTATGGCATTTGGAAAATGTAAAGCGCTATGCAAGTGTGATTATTTTTGGCATGTGCAATAACTTACTGCCTGATTGCATCCTTTCATAGCAATATCCAGGCATTTATGTATTCTATCTAATATCCTTCTGAGGATTACATGTGGTTTATGTTTACTTCAAGTAATTTTGTGATGCATCTTTCCTCCCTTTAGCGCCCATATGGTCTTGTGCTGCAGCTGCACTACAGTCTGGATTCTCTCGCTTTTAAAACATCTCCATCACTATAGGAAAAATCCAAATATTTCTACAGATAGTTAGCAAAATTTAACCATAAATAAACAGATGTGACATTTACTGTATTCAGAGTGAAAGATCTTTGGCAAACTGAAACCTTTCAGCTGTCACATATGCTTTTCTTCGCAAAGGGTATGAAGATCTGTATGTGTAAATGAGGTTCTACTTTGGCAAGAGTTTTATAGATCTAGGCTTGGCAATCTGATTTCTCTATGGGTGATGGCAGTTACTATTGACCATGTCATTACTTCTCTACTTGCATTTTATCGAGCAAGGCTCTGGGGTGGCTTTTTGCATCTATTGACATTTTCAAACTTGAATCAGTCTTACAGGAAAATACCATCTTTCTTCTGTTTAATTTACAAGAAGCAATTGTTTAAGAAATATGTGTAATCTGATCACCTCTCGTGGTAATGTTGCTTTAATTAGCAACGTGCACATTTATTGAATAGCGTTAAGCCATTTAAAAGATTTAACAAGTGTATTATCATTCTAGTAAGCAAGCCATGCACTACAGAAGAGCTGGTGATTTATAATACTTAAATATTAATTCTGTATAATACTCAACTACATTAACATACATGGGTTTTGCAGCCAAGACCTTTGAATTCATGGTCTGAAGGAACAGTTGTGCCAAAGGCAGTATTGCTTCCTCTCCCACCAAGTAAACGGTACATCTTAAGTTTCCTTGAAAATAACCTTTACTGCATGAAGAATTTCACTCAATATACACATCATAGCAAAAATCCGAGTGGCAGCAGTAGTAGTCGTGCAGTGCAGCCCGGGACTCCTTGGACCAAGCTTAATTTTGCAGAAGGCAAATTTCCATTTTTAGTGACGGGCTGCAGGGCAAGACATCATTGAAGACGGCAATCCCTTCGATCCCTCACGTTCTCAAGGAAAAAGGTCAAGGGCAGCATGTGTAGCAATTAAGCTGTTAACCAGCCCATGACACTATCCACTCACCTTCATAGCCACCGCCAAGCCTACTCCTGGGTTTTCTTCGTTCCCTACTTTCCTCTCTCTCCCCCCCTCTTCTCTCTTGGCATCTCTCCTCAGTTCCCTCTGCATAATCTCTTCTCCAGCAATTCCCAATTCCTCCCAGCCCAACACAGTTCCCCATCCCATTTGATAAATGGGCAGCAATGAACTAGTTAATTATGCTGGCATGTAAATGAGTAAACCTCACAATGAGGCTCTTTGGGGAGGGGGACTTCACCTCTTCAGAGCTGCTGTGCAAGGCTGCCAGCAGACTCAGGACACAGTGCGGGAGGAGAGGCTTTTCCTTCCCCTTTGGAAAAGTAACGGCATGACCATGAAGGTTAGGAACTTCATTAAATGAAATTAAAGAGCTGATTTTTTTTTCAGTCAAGGGGTTTATGCATAAAGGGGGCTGGACCTGGCATGGGATGAGGACTTGACTCTTCTGTGCCACTGATCCAGCACGTAGTCAAACCGTCTCTGCCTTGAGTCATTTTAAAATCTGGACAATGCGGTCCAACTGAACGCTGACCCTTCCTGCTGCCCAGGCAAGAAGCTCATCTTCATCCTCCCCGAGGGTCACAGGGAAGAGCAGATGGTTTACATGGAGGCGGCTGGGATCTGGTAGGGGTTGGGAGTCCTGGTGTGGGGAGGCTTTCCATCCTGGGGTGCGTGGAAAGTATCCGATTTCTGGTTCTCTTGAACCCCCAAAAAGGGACGTGTTAGGGTAATCTGGCTTCACATTTTGCCCACTGTAAACTCCATACAGCAGTGTGAACTCTTCTGGTTCACATCTAGCTATTACTGGCTGGGGAGATCTGTGCTGAAATCCATGCTAGCGGTACACCGCTCTTTGATAGCATTTGCTCGGAAGATATCTGTCTCAGAAGTATCTTTGCTTAACTCTCTCCAACACAAAATGCAAATTGAAGTGGGTCCAGGGAACCTGCTTTTTGCAGGCATCTTGGGCCCACGGGCTTTGTTAAAGCTCCCTTCCATCTCAACACAAACGGGCTTCAGCGACCGTAACTCTTTTAGTCAACTCAAGAGATTAATGGAATCCTATAATGGCTAATTAGGAGCCCTAATAGCGGTTCAGTGCCTATTCCCTTTTGCACCACATACTTTTTTCCAGCCTAAAAGCAGACTGGCATTTGTTAGTGTCAGCATAATGCTAACTTCCTACAAGAGGATTATTCAAAAGGAAAACATGTGTCTTTACAGCAAACAGCTGATAACCCATCTCTCTAGCCTGCAGATACAACGCTGCATGGAGAACTTGTGCCGGTTAACCTCAGTCAGGATTCAAGCAAAATGGGAACGTTTTGAATCTTAGTAAAGCACATGTAAGCGGGCAGAGGTAACTATTCATGACTAGAAGGGGCTCCAGAGGTCTACTGAAAGGGCAATGTGTTATTTGTGTTGGATATTCAAATCTGAACCTCAATGGGCCCACTGCTCCTCAGCTGCGGGATCTGCGACTGCTGCAAAGGCGCCACGGGAAGAGAGCGCCACGTGCTGTATGCGGCACAGATGAGACCCACTGCAACCGTCGCGCAGAATGAACCGGAGAGGACAAAATGGGACCCACATGCTTGCGGGAAGAGAGGCTGCGTTGCTGATGCCACCTGAGAAAAGGCATTCGCTGGCACTTCAACTACATACATAAGCACAGACAAAACCTGCCATGTCTCACCCCACTTTCTAGAAGCTGGCATGCGATGGCCGGCATGGCACACGTTGTGTATTCCTGCAGGAGCCAGCATGTGCCCAGGGTAGTAAAAGCAATAAAGCTGGTGTCAGCTCATGTTTAAAGTCTGCATAATTAGCAACCTCATCAGGAACATTTTTTGCCCTCTTCACTGTCCTTAACAAAGCTGCTCTGATGCTTCCTCTGAAGCTATCGGGGCTGGGCTTGAAAGGAAAAGAGACTGTCCTACCGGAGGGACACTTCCACACAAGGAGATGCTGGATTCATTTGCTGCTCCCCAACGGGCTTAGTATTGCCAAATTGGGACAGACTTTTTTGGGTCAGGAGTAAAACGGGGAGGTTTGCAACAAAGAACAGAACAGGAATGTGCTCCCTACACGTTTTGCAAGGCCACACAAACTCCTCCTCTCCTGCTTGCTTTCCCTTTCCATCTTGTACTGCTTTCCTGATGTTCCTCTCACCCTCCCTCCTTCTCACTCCTCATTTCATCACGATCAATAGACATTAATTGCACAGTGCTAAGCTGCTCACCAGGATGCTGAGATGCTCTGTCTTAATTTTCTGCTTTGCATTCCCTAAATAATGAAAAACACCTTGGGTTAAACAAAAACTTTAAAAAGATTCCCACTGCCTGGTGTGGCCACCCAGCGCAGTGCTTCCCTGGGTAAGCCTTCTTCTATCCGCTCCCCCTGCTGCCTTTGTGAAAATGTAAAAAAAAAATCTCAGCAAAAGAAAAAAATCTCTGCTGGAATTTGTTTGATCCCAGCGCGTGTTGAGGATGTTCTGTTCAAGGACAGTACGGCTTGATTCGTTAAATATCGTATTTATAGCAAGAATGTGACAGAAACGTTAGCACATCACTGGGGGAAAAAGCATTTTTCTGACTGATCATGTTTTCTTGCAATACAAAAGAAAGCCAGAATGCTTTTAACTGCATAATAACAATATCAAGTCACTTATGAGAAAATAAAATCGCAGACATGGCTTTTATGCCGGTAGGATATTGGTTCATCTTTTTTCAACAGAGGTCATATCTGCATAAATATTAAAGTAAGGCAACACAGCGGGTGTCATCCCCTGCGTTTAAACTACATGCTGAAAGCCCTTTAAATGTTGGCACCCTGCTGAAGTTAGTGACCTTAGAATTATTAAGATGAATTATAATTGCTCAGAGCCAAGTGCCAAGAGAC